TTCATTGTCCTTGCGAAGTTTGGAAATTCAAAACGTCATGGTGAACCTAAGCCTCATTTCATATCATCCTCTAAACAGTGACAACTCGCACTCAACATCGTTTGAAGAGAATAAACAACAAAACGCCGTTTTTTTGTTCTTCACACAAAACACTCTTACAAAAAAACAATGGGACTTTCGCGCCCTAATTACAGTCCGTGAGTATGGAGGTAGAAAATGCTCAGATGAAGGACCTTTTTAGCAGGAATCTGAGGCCTGAGCTGAACAGTAGAACAAAGTATGTCAACTGGTTCCAGGTCTTATTTTGTGAGGCTCCATTAGCTGTAGAGAAAATAAGATAAAATATATTGAATATGATTTGAAATGTAAAAAGATATATTCACGCCTAAATGCAACCGGCCTACAAATTAGTCATCAATTCCCCGTTTCCACACTTATCTATAAATTTGGAGTATCCATCGCTTCATTCATAATTTTTATTTTCCTTCAAGTTTATGCGAGCAGTGTCTTCTTTCATAATTATTGAGCTTACTTCCATTTCGAGTGAACAATTCCGGTGAAGAGATTCCAAGGTCGACAACGGATTGATCTTGACCAGCTGTAGATTGGTTTTACTGGAATACTCTTGTTAATGCTGTTTCCAAGGGACTCTCCTTCGATTCCGGACATTATTAGAATATCATAATCATCATCATCATCACCATCATCCTTATAACCGTATTCAAGATGCTCCGATTATGTCCGTCATACGAGCGACGAAAACTTATTAAATTTTCACCAGAATCGAAGGAGATTGTCAATCGACAACGGGCAAGAGAGGATCAATTCATATCGTCTTCTGATTGGATCGACCTTCGAATCTCTTCACCGAACACTTTCACTCGAAATGAAAGTAAGCTCAACGCTTCTTTCCCGTTGCCGGTTCGGTTGCCTAGCTACCCACATAAAAGACCTTTTTTCGAGAATCAACTCATATTGCATTCACCTGCTTAGAGTTTCTTTTTCATACTCTTTTTATTCCCCATTTCCCTGTAATACATCGTCGACGTTGCACTATGTTGATACCGAGACAGAAGTCAGTAAATCACTCTGGTCCTATATCCATGTCGAGTTGCAGTAGCGTTTAAGTTCCATCACTCGCCAGGCTTCAGGGCTTCTCACCTTCGGGCTATATTTTTGTCTCTTTTTGCCCTTGACAACACAACCATACACGACTGGAAGTTGGCCGGATTCGGCGAGATGTTTTCCATAACGTTTTAGCTTCTGGAAACGGAGGGCAGCTGGGCAGTGGCCATCACAATTTCACTGACATTCGCAATCGGAACCACATGGCGACGCTGTATTTGATGCTAAAAAATGAGTGCTTCCATCTTCAGAGAGGGAACAAATGATGCCACGAACTCGTGAAAGGAAGGTGAAAAGATAGTCACTGAGTCGGCTTTTGATCAGATCATCATCAAAAGTCCACACTGAAAGTGTGGAAAGGACTTGACTGAGCTTTTCTTACGCATAACAATGCATCCAATAAAAGTCGGAAATATCATTCATCCACTTCCCCACAGAATCGTTGCAACTCCTCTGTTGTCGGGCGCCATATTGCCAACTTGACTTCTTGTACGATCCCACAAACCGGTTATCCGCCTGGCCTCTGCAGAATTGTCAAACCAAAATAGACTTAAATTTGTCTACCGTAAATTAGAGACAAAAAAGGGATGACACGAACTGTGATTGCTTTAACAACCACATCACCAACTTTGGTGATGCAGTCTGCAGATTGAGAGAGAACGAGAGAAAGAAGTAGATAGGAAATACCTACCCTTGATATTCATTGCCTTCCACCAGAATGTGCACCTGCCCTGGTCAAGGGTTGTTTTTCTGCTAGTTAATTGACCAATGTTGAAAACATAGTACTCCTTGCTTTCTGCTGTCGTCTGAGGAAACGATAGGGCTCTGTGCCAAAAAGGTAAAGTAGGCAATAATATTAAGTATGAATATATATTTTGAAATTATCACTTTTTCTACAATAATACAATTAGGCGTCATGATTAGGATGACCAAGTTATTATCTAAAACTTACTACTCATAATGAGTATGAGTAATATAGTCGAGTGTAATGGAAAATGTATGACTGTATCATAGGTCGTCCCAAGCCCGAGGTGAAAAGACGAAGTTGACGTGAGAAGACTGTTTGAGAGAGGTTTAATGACGAATTGGGGCCTACTCATTTGATTGTGGATGATCCTTACGATCACCTTTAGCGACTAAAGCTGACTAAGTTCCAATTCTAATAAGCAGATAGTTGGGAATATTTGAAGATACCACAATAAATATTCCATTTTTATGGACCCATTCCACCATTGGGCATGTTTAGCACTTACGCGCCTTTGACGAAACTGCCCAATTCCTTCATGGCTGCTTGCGACAGAACGCCCTCTTGCGCGGTGAACTTCCAAAATGAATTCTCGAAGATGGTGTCGAAGGGCTTGCCGAAGAAGTATTCAAGAGCATAGCCATGCGCCACACCCGCGAACGCGGGCAGTAGATTCGCCTCTGTCTTGTGCTCGAAGGACCATCTGAAAGGGTCGTTGAAGGTAGGGCGAAGGGTCAATGGAAATGGTGGAGAGAGACGAAGCACCGTATCCGTATTGTTCATGTGTATGCATGTATGTGTGTCTGAGTCTGTGTGTGTGTGTGTGTGTATGTACATGTTGGCGCATCGAGAACGTGGGTAGATTTGCCAATTTCTCTCATTTCTCACTCGGTTACTCACGTCCGAGATGGAGTTGGCAACGGTACAGCTACAGGCACCGCTGTTGCTTCACTTCGGACAGTCCTCCGTCATAAAGAAAAAGATTGTTGAGGGAAGTTGGTGAATTGGCTTTAATGCTACGAGGTATGTAGGGTTTCCAATCTCTTCGGAATTCTTCAGCATATACAAAAACACAGAAATTGTTCAATAATATTCATGTTATGTAACCTCTTAATAGGAAGCAGAAGAATGTATAAATTGCATTTATTAACCAGA